GTGAAGATATAGAAATATAGATAAGTTATAGTGCTTGGTAAATGATTGGTTTCTTTGAATAGATTTCCAACATTGGCAAAACGTTACATATTCCAAGGTTGGAAAATTAACTAACATTCCAACATTGGAATATCAAGAAATATACCAATGATAAACCAGCAAAAAGGGGATTAGCAATTTTGGATCTGTATTGGAGGACTATGATGGGATATACCAAGAATGAATCACATGGTGCTGTTTTTATTGAAATAAACTAACAGATTTATTGGTAACTATAGTGATTATAACAATATACTTCAAAATAGTCAACATGCTTTAGTTGCTCACAATAAAACCCAAGACAATAAAGATTTTCATGCTTGAAAATATTGTACTTTTTAGTTAATCTTTGTGCTTCCCCATTATCTTCATCCAGCAAGTCTGTGTCCCCTCCACTTCTTCGATTGATTTCATATATATTATCGCTATGTCCCTGATCTTGTTCTAATTCATCTGATTCTTTATCTGTGTCTGTCCCATCTAGAAATGACATAGAATTATCCTCAGCAACTTATAAGCAAGGCAACCCGGACCACTTCTCAGTCAAACCCAGAAATCATGGTTGATCAAACAGTAAGAATTCTGGGTTTGAGTAATTACTAGTGGTTTCCACTGCTTTGCCTAGAAATAGAGTGATTTTCATATGATCGTGAAAGAATAGGCAAACTAATAGTTAGTAGTAGACTCTAAACCAATGATTTTCTTTTGTTCTTTATCAACTATTACAAACTAAATGGTCTATTTTCTTTCACGGTGATGTGAAAATCATTCTAGTAATTAATCAAACTGGTAGCTACCAGCTCCTCTAGCTTCATACGGTTTTCTTGGTTCTGTTTAAAGTAGACTTTCGTATTAGAAAGATTATATTAGAAAGATTAGATTCATGTCTACACTAACTAAACTTATTTTGCTTTAATAATAGCTTCACGATCTAGGCCACAAAGGTATATCATAGACTTTGGAATATTTATAACAAAAAAGACAATTTAGAATAATTTTTCCAAACGATTTAAACTTGTCATGAGTTTTTGAAGCGCCCTTTTGTGTGTCAATTAGCTTTGATATTTCTGTCATTACATCRATCCTTCTTCCTAGAGTCTTTACCCCAATATCTTTCAAGTCTGACTTTTCGAGCGCTATCAAATTTTTTCCATTGATTTCTTCAGCTGAAAATTGTCAAAATACATTCATATTTATGATTAATRAGCTTATATTTTGGAAAATGAATCGACGCATAGTTATATTGGAATTCTTACCTTCGAACAGACTGCTTTCTTCAGAAAATCCCTTTTTCCTTCATCCAGCTAACAACCTTCTCAACAGGCCACTCTATTCAAAAAACGATTGTTTAGCTTGGTATTTTATTCATATTATATTATGTCCAGATTTGCTTGAGGCATATATTAGGGTTTCTGTTGGCGCAATTGATGTAAACCGGCAATTGACAACGGCAAGTCGTGTTAAAACTGAACATTTCAACGTACCTTCAACATCTTTAACCTCCAATTCCTTTTCAGTAGCGTCCATTTTCTTGTAGAACGGCACTTTTCAGAAGAAATAAGGAAACGAAGATGTATAAAGCAAAAGATTTCGACGAACAGTACTCCAAAATGCTAAAGCAAGAGAGCGTTGTCAACGTTCCCGCCAAGACAAGCATGTTCCCGCCTAAATCATGCGCATGCGTTTATGGCTTCRACCGCTGCATTTCAGAGACAACCTGTTTATATGTAAATTTCGAGACATAAAAGTGTAGCGCTAAAATTCCTAATTGGTTGTTTGGTACACAAGAAACAATTCAAAGTTGTCAACATGATGTAAAATTTGTTTCACAGCGGACAGAGAAATAAAAACTTGGAAGTGTCACTACTCAAGGGCTATGTTTTCTTCCAGATAGATCGGACAACTTTCTGTGATAAAACTATGGCAAGCAGTGGCAATTTGGTAGCTAAGATATGTCAATGTGAATGCTCAGAAGAAGATATTTTTTTAAACTCCAAATTTCAAGGACATGTACATTGCACCTGTGAAGTTTGTGAAGGTCAACCAGTTAACCGGATGAAGGCATTCAAGAAGGACGACTGTTCTCGATGGAGACATGTCAGATTCAGGCCTAAAAGTATCCGAAAGTCGCTCTTGTAACATAAATACCAAGTCAGAGACAGTAACGGTGAGTAGCACTCAGTTTTGCGAGGACAGCTAATCAGAAATATGTGCTCTAGCTGGTAGGCTCTATTCTCCCATGGATTTAGATTCTGATGAGTTTGCAGAGGAGAGTGAAAACTCAGGAAGCCTCGAGGATGACACCGATGAATGTTTGCCGCGCGCGGAATTTGACAACGTTACAAACGCTGAAGATGATTTCGTGCAAAATAAGCACGAGGCTAAAGATTTTATTATGGATGCAGTTCTACGATTAGTTGATATGAAAACTAAGGCTGGATTTTCAATCAGAACGTTTGAAGATCTGCTAAAATGGGGTAGGGACTTTCATTGTGTAGAAAATGATCATGAGGAGAGACGAGCCAAATGGCCATCTACGTGGGAAGAGGTGCGCGTCTTGTTGGATTCTGTTGGTTACAGTAAACCAAAACTATTTTATATCTGCTGCCTGAATCCCACTCATCCATGCGTGTTTGGGCTCATGAAGTCTAGAGATGAATTATGCTCTCACTGTGGTAATAAAGGAACAGTTCCCTACTATTTTTAAGTGTAGCTGAGAAAGTGAAACGCTGGTTTTCATCATCTGCCATGTGTAAAAATATCACTGCTCATTGGGGAGAAAGGGATCTATGGCTACCGCAAGATAACCAACAAGATTGGGGCTGGCCTCACTAAAAAAAGAGATATGGGATGGAAGGAAATTTGCAAAGTTAAGTTATTTTTGGGATCCTGAATGTGAATGGGTATTGCCAGCTAGATGTCCTATGCATGGCTGCAACAGAATCATTTCTGCAGAAATGATATTGCAGTCTCTCTACTGTGATGGCAGTTCAGAAAGGAGACAAGTAGAATGTCCAAGTTGCTTTCATGCATTTGAATACTCACCTAAGAAAACTAAGGGAGACCCCAGGAATTTAGCGTATGATGTTCACTGGGATAGATGGCAGCCATTTTCATCAATAGTCACGTGGTTCAGGGGCAATAGAATTGCAGATAGCTAATATGTCCAAAGAACTAAGAAGCAAAACTGAAGAAGTTTATGTAGTGGGGTTTGTGCCTTCTTATCTACTGCCAAATAAGTCTCCATGCATGCTGGATCCTTTTCTTGAGCCTTTAATGCAAGAAATTGAAAATGGCTTTATTGAGGGGATTGAAGTGAATTGTGCTGTACCAATGTGGAAAGCCAGAAGGCCTTGCAGTTAATAGGCATCTCATCCTTTGCTTCTCTGGTGATCACCATGGAATATGTGAAGTAGGAAAATTCATTAAAATGGGGAAATGTCCTTGCAGACGTTGCCATTTGACAGCAAGCATATATGTCCCAGAGTCTTGTCATTATTACTACTCAAATTTTACGAAACAATGCAGATGCCCATCAAAAAAGAAGAGTATACTTGAAAACCTAGATATTTTGTATGACATTGAAGAAGAAGAAAGGACAACATTTAAAAAGCAAAAGGCCCGTGAAAGTGGTTATACAGGTTTGTCAATCCTTCACAGATTGTATCCACTGTATGGCTTTCTTTATGATGAACATACTGTGTTTGATCAAATGCACACCTTTTCTCTCAACATCGTAAAGTCTGCCCTTTTGGATCTAAAAGATGATGAAAACAGTGGAATCAATTGGGATGTGGTTGACCAGAGACTTAACAACATACCATGGACAACAGAGTTCAAGTCTTCACGGTATCCAAGAAATTTGACCAAGAGTATTGGCAGATGGAAAGCAGAAGAGTTTTCTATATTTGCATACCCAATATCAGAAGTGGTATTTGATGGTTTGTTATAAGAAGAGCAAAAGGAAGAATGGTTATGTCTTGCACGTATTGTTGAGTTTATACAGAATCATACCAGAAATGAATGGACAGAAGAGGATGCCCAAACATTTCATGCAATGGCTCTCCGTTATGCTGTTCTTCTAGAGGAAAGAAGGGGTGTGACAAAATGTACAGTTATTCTCCACAATTTAGTGCATTTGAAGGAGGATATTCAGAATTTCAGTGGTCTCGATAATTATTCTTGATGGACAAAGGAACGTGCTGTCAGGAGATATATTTGTCAGTCCAGTAACTGCAAAAACATTGAAGCATTATTTGCAAATACTGAAACTCGCCGTGAATGTCTGAAGAGAAGAGAAGAGAATGAAACAATTGTAAATGATCCTAGAAAGGTGGATGTGGCAAAGGTATAGTATTTTAGCTATAAAATTGAAAAACCTATCAAGCCTCCTGCAATTTATTTGCTACCAATTATACTTTATATATCTAATATATCTTTTTTTTCTTTCTTTTTAAGGGTTGGGCAAAATCAATTACTGAAGCTAAAAAACTTTATCAACCAAATCCATTGTTAGATACTGATACTCACCATTATAATGGTCTATTGTACAAAACAAATGAACATGTTGTTGCTATAACTCCTGATTGTGGTGAAGTCATTGTTCAGCTAAAAGAAATATTTGCTGTTAATGTTGCAGGCCAACAAAAATTTTTTTTTGTTTCACAGCAATTCAAAGAGGCTGGTTGCAGTGATATGGGAGGAACACTTGTCCAAAAAAGTGATGATATAGTCATTGGAGATCTATCAACAATAAACTTGAAGGTCATGCTTGCAAATCATGATGAAACCGAATATGTACCTACTGGTACTTTTATTTCCAGTTACCCTTGACACAGTTGTCATTCCTTCCTACCCAGTAGCTAATGACATGGTACCAGTAATGGGAATTCAACAAGATGATACATGGAGAGCTAGAGTATTGTCTTTTGATTTAAAGAATAAAGTCATCAAAGGACGTTTTTTCATTGAGCAAGATGGCTTTTGGGTTCCAGAAGGAACAAGAGACCAGGAAATTAGTTTCAAAAGTATTCTTGGCATTGCAGATGGTACATGGCAAGTACAGTTTTCAAGATGGCAGCAAAGCTAGCTGTAAATATTTGACAGTGAACTACTATTGACCTTGTTACCAAGACAGGCATAAGAAGATTTTTTGTACAAACATGAACAAGAACATGCATCATAATCAGCAAATTACACATGCATCAGATTGGAATTTTATTGTTATTACAAGAGGGAGTGGGAGGGGGGGGGAGACTCCAGTGTAACATCAATGATTGACCAATGACATTCCATTCTTGGTAGCTTATTTCTGCATTGTTGGTAAATGACTGGAATATTGTTGGTATCACAAGAAAGAGATACCAGTGTAACACCATTGATTGACCAATAACATTCCATTTTTGGTATATGATTGGAAATTGATTGGTATATGATCTGAGATACCAATGATTTACCAATAATGGTAACTTAAATCATATTTTTTCCAATAATCTACCAGGTTGGAATCTCAATTTTTTTCCTGTGAAAGTCGCAAAAGTAAGAGAGAATGTATGATTATTGAGGACGCTGATGTCAAACACCATACATTTCCTCTTATATTTTTGCGACTTTTAGACTGATTTGCCATTCAGTTAATCTCATATGCTTCACATTTTGGATCGAATTTTCAAGCAGCGTCATAGCTTTTTTTCTGCCCAAGACTTTCCATCCAAATTTATGCGCAGACTACAATATTACTAGATGATAAGATTCTTAAAATTTCAGAAAAGTCGTACTTGAAGATGAGGAGAAAAAAGCCAAAAGATAAAAATAGCACTGTTTGAATTTCAGCCGTAGGGTAGGGTAAAGGCTAAACAATTAAAAAATCTTAAAATAGAATACGCTGTTAGAATCTAGGATAATCCAAGCACATGATATGAAAAATCCAGTTAAAT